AGGAGAGTACCTGTTTTAGAGTCAAACCAAGATGAAATAGACCTCAGCAGGCAGGTCATAAGCCAGCAATGTAGAATGTGGAGTTTTTATGTCCCTGGCTGCATTTGTAAGTGATTCTCTCACCAAAGGAACCAAAAAATCCGTTGATTAGTACCTGGGCCCCTGGCCAGTCTTTCTACGGACCAACCACATGGAAGAAACAGGAAAAGCTGAGCATTCAATTTTTAAGAAGCAGCTCTGTGGATCAGAGTTCTGAGAACCTTCAGGTGCCCCGAGTCTCCATGAAGATATTTAGTCCATTATCACCATGGTGGGAAACATGGCAGCAGGCAGACAGGCATTGTGCTGGAACAGTAGCTGAGAGTTCACATTTGATCTACGACAGAGAGAGAGAGAGAGAGAGAGAGAGAGAGAGAGAGAGAGAGAGAGAGAGAGAGAGAGAGCGCTAACTGGGAATAGCATGGGCTTTTGAAAGCTTGAAGCCCACCCCTAATGACATTCCTCAAATAAAGCCACACCTTCTAATCCTTCCCAAATAGTTTCACCAACTGGGAACCTATGGAAGCCATTCTCATTCAAACCCACCACACTGGAGGAGTTTATGATTACCCCAGTTGTTTGTATTCCTAGATAGATCACCTATTTCTTGGAAGGAAAACAAGAGAAAGATGCTACATAGCAAAATAGGGGCCACGAAGTGTCCGTATTATGACTGGAGCTATTTCTGCTTGGGGAAGCATTGTGACTAAAAAATAATAATAATAATAATAATGGCAACTTGAGTTTAGTATAAAGTCTAAAATGTTATTTATTCATTTATTTCTTCAGAAAGCATGTCAGCATGTAGAAAAGTTCAATAATGCCAACTATGGAGTCAGGTGTTTGGAATAAATTTCTAATGCTGTCACTCATTAACCTTCCTTAAAGTAGTTATGAGAACTTATCACAGAATACCAGTGAGGAATAAAAGATTTAATCTACTTATTGAGCCTAGAATAATGCCTGGTCGCCATAAGCACTCAATATATCAGTCCCGGTTTCGTTTCTGTTGTTATGCTAAAACACTGAGCAAGAACAATTTCACAGAAGAAAGAGTTTGTTTGGCTTACCTGTCCTAGGTCATAACCCATCTCTGATGGATGGAGCTTGAGGCAGGAACTGAAGCAGAGACCATGAAGGAATGCTCCTTATTAGCATGTTCTTCATTCCTGGCTCAGCTTGGTTTTAAAATATAACCCAAGACCACGTACTCAGGGGTGGTGCTGCCCACAGCTGACTTAGCCCTTCCATATTAATTGTTAATCACTAAAACGTCCCACAGATATGCCCACTGGTCAACCTGATGGAGGAAATTACTCAGTTGAGGTTGCCTCTTCCCACATGACTACTTTGTGTCAAGTCCACCAAAACTAAGCAGCATAAAATCTTGGTTATATTTGGTCAAAAATTTCACCAAGGCATGTAAAATTTTATGTGACAAGTAGTACGTGAGCGCATAGTCATTTTTTTAGCTTACACTAGCTCTTCCACTGGGTGGGATGCTCCTGTCCCAGTCATTAACCAGAAATACAGGCCTCATCGTAACTCTTCTCCCCCTTCCTCACAGCCCACTTCTCAAGAGGCAGCTGGGTTCTGCATGTTATACAGTGTAAGTTCTACTGGCTCCTTCCTTTTTTTTTTGGAGGGGGGGCGTTCGAGACAGGGTTTCTCTGTGTACCTTTGCACCTTTCCTGGAACTCACTCTGTAGACCAGGCTGGCCTCGAACTCACAGAGATCCGCCTGTCTCTGCCTCCCGAGTGTCCTTCCTTCTTTTCCGTACCTCACCACCACTTGACTCTAGCCTTGTTCATGCTCTTGACTCACTATCCCAGTCATCTCCCTGGGACCACATAGCTCTCAGCCAGCCTGTTCCAAGGGTATGTGTGTTGGTGTTTCTTCACGTGTCTGTGTGCACATCTTCATGTGTGTGTTGGTACACACACACACACACACACACACACACACACACACACACACACGCCAGCATGCCTGTGGGGGGGGGGGCGCAGAGGTTGACATGGGTGCCTAAGCTCTCTCACTAGACCTGGAACTTATCCATTCAGCTAGACTAGGAGGTTGGCAAGTCCTGGGACCCTTCTGTCTCCACTTGGCAAGGGTTTAGATTCCAGGGGGCAGCTGTTGGGTCTACCTTTCGCATGGGTGCTGGGTATCAAACTCCATGCTTGTGTGGCAGGCGGTTTGCTGACTGAGCCATCTCCTTAGAGCCTACTGATTTAAAGATGTATCTGGTGCGGTTAGCTTCCTCAGAGGCCCCCACGGAATAAAGTCCTGGAGCCCACGTGGCTCGTGGTCTTTGTGATCCTGTCCTTCTGTCTTTCCACCCTCATCTTTCTGCTCTCCCCTCAGCTTTCCCTCACCCCACCCCCAGGAAACAAGCTGGAGTTTCCTGACCACAGAATGCTGTTTCAATCCTCAGCACGGCTGTTCCTTCTGCTGGGCCACCCACCCCCTCCAGTTCCAGGACAGCCCTCATCTGCAGTCAGGTTCATGGTTTTAAAGACTGGGTTTCTATATGTAACAGCCCTCGTTGTCCTGGATCTCACTCTGTAGACCAGGCTGGCCTTGAACTCACAGAGATCCATCTGCCTCCTGAGTGCTGGGATTAAAGTCTTGCACCACCACCACCTGGCAGGTTCATTGTTTTAAATGAAGCTTCTTTATGCCATCAGGAGTCAAACCTGTACCAAAACTCAGGAACAAAATGTATAATATACTTTATCTTTTCTTTCTTTTTTTTTTTTTTTTTTTTTTTTTTTTATGTATACAGTATTCTGCCTGCATGTATGCCTACAGGCCAGAAGAGGGCACCAGATCTCATTATGGGTGGTTGTGAGGCACCATGTGGTTGCTGGGAATTGAACTCAGGACCTCTGGAAGAACAGCCAGTGCTCTTAACCTCTGAGCCATCTCTCCAGCCCCTATCTTTTCTTTCTTATAGAGGACGTGACTCCGTGGCTGTAGAGGGAGAGATGAAATGTAGAGATTGAAGTTGATTTAATTCGAGCAGCTGTCCTTTACTAGTTAGCTACCTCAGAGGACAAGGAAGTTTGATCCGTAGCTGGGCGGTGGTGGTGCACGCCTTTAATCCTGGCATTTGGGAGGCAGAGGCAGAGGCAGGTGAATCTCCGTGAGTTCAAGGCTAGCCTGGGTCTACAAAGTGAAATCCAGGACAGCCAGGACTGCTGCACAGGGAAACCTTGTCTCAAAAAAAAAAAAAAAAAAGAAAGAAAAGAAAAGAAAGAGAGAAAGAAAAAGAAATTTGGTCCACCTTAATCCTCAGGGATCCTGCCCAAGAGACTCTGGTCAATGCCTGGCTCCTATTTATGCTGCTTCCTGTATACACACATATTTAAGATAAAGTTGAAATTCATAAACTGTTCACAGTAAGAATTAGTAGTAGAATATGCTTTTAAACCACGTATTGAACGAAAAATAGGCTGCTTACAAAGACAAGCAAGTGACCGGAATTCCAACCTTCCCTTGCTGTCCCAGCCATGATCCAGGACACTCTGAATCTCAAGGTTTCAACTCATCCCCCACACGGCGGCTCCTCCTTTGGGTATAGATTTCTCATAGCACCCATCTGGTAGTCCATAGAATCTGCTCAGCTATGGGCCTCGCTGCCAGACTAGCACTGCACCCATGGCTGTATACATGGAACTTGTTGAAGAGGCTGGAACAGACCAGAGCCTTGTAACTGCTGTCTAGGGCTGACCTCAGCTCAGCTACGGGGACACAGTTATTCCTGTCTCTACAGAGCTTCTGGATAGGGAAACCCATTTCTAAGAGACGCTATCCAGCCACAGTGAGACTTAACGTCTTAACATCTGGCTCCAGCAACCATCGACTTTCTTCAAAAGCTTCTAAACGTCTTTTAAAGCACTAATTTGGTAAAAGTAAACTACCTGAAATATTTTTAATTTCAGAGTGACTTACAATCACTCCATAAAATGTGGTATTCCTACCAAGCACTGAAAATAACAACCAAATGGTTATTGGATAATGAAATTAGTTTTCTATTGAGTTTCTGTGGCAAAGCACGTGATTTTAAGGGTTATCTCAGATCAGCCTAGTGACCCTGGCTGGCAAGCATGTTGTCCCATCAAACGCTTTAGGAAACTGAAAACTTGAAGAGTTACTTCCTGGGCCTCCTGCCCCAGTTTTGACGGCTCGCATCTCTTGGTTGTATTCTAAGTACAGGGATCCAACCTCACTTTTCAAAGGCTTATTAACAAAATCTCGCCATTAGAGCAGCCTGGTGACTCATTTTTGGATACCCGTGTGTAGAAACAACAGCTCCTCCCTCTGCTGAGAAATGGCCCGGACAAGTGTGAGAGAGGGCCACAGGAAGTAAAAGGCACGTCTCAGCTGGGGTTCGTGGAGCCAAAAAGCCGACAGAATTCCGTGTTGCGGTTCTGTAAGCAAAGCCACCTTTAGGTCTCTATCCCAAAATAACTCTTCACAGTCGGCTGTGAGGGCTGTTTCAAGGCGGTATCAACGTTCTTGTATTTCCTGGCTCCTGAGTCATACTGTCAAGTTCAAGTCTAGAAGCGCCTGCTCTGATGGGTTTGAGAAAGGGGCGACCACACCGAAAAACCCTCCTCCATTCAAGAAAACAAAGCAAAACTCAACTGAAAACAAAAGACGGCTCAGGTAGCAGCTTTCATACAAAGTCAGTCTACGTTCGTCATTTCTGAAGCACTTCTAATGAAGCATTATACTCCGAAACATTTGAAAAGCGTTCGGCTCCAAGGTGAGAAACCCAAAGAGCCTTGTCTTGAAGGTACCTGGAAGCGCAGAGAGAACCACACCCCAAACCCACCTGCTGCTGCTCAGCATCCCAGCCTTAGTCCAGCACGAGACCCCCTCCCAGCCAGCCCCGCGCCCGCGATGCTGAAAAAAGTTAGAGAGCCAAGTGGACTCCCGCGACAGAACGAACCGAGATCCGGTGGGTCGCCGATCGAGGGTCCGGAGGCCGGGAGGAAACCGGCTGCGCGTATCCCCGCGGCCCGGCTCCCTGCGCTACTCGCGGGCTCCGGCTGCGCTTCTCAACCACAGTCCGAGCCCTGCGCCACCCGGACCGCATCTGGACGCCGCTGGCCCCGCCCCCGCCGCTCGGAGGCTGCACAGCTGGGGACCAAGCCCCGCCCCGGGGACGTCCTCCGCTAGGCGCGAGGCTTCCTTCCCCAGGACCCGTCGCCACGCTGCGGGATGCCGGGAACCGAGGCACCAGGCACCTTCCCCGCCTAAGCGCCTCCAGATGTTGCGGGTGGCAGTGGGGAGGTGAGGGGAGACCACGTGGACCACTCGGGAACTTCCTCGCACTCAGGGATGGAGACACGGGCAGGGCGGGATCCGCTGGACTTCCCCCGGGGAAACCCCGCCGGCACCGATGACATTTGCAGTCCAGAGTTTTTTCCGAGGCTGGGATGCAAGAACCCGTTTCTGAGCGTGGGTGTGGCTGCGCCAGCGAGGACCAGCGGGAAGGCTGAACCGGAGGCTGTCGATCACCCAGACACTGAGCCCCGCCTTCCAACAGCCCCTTCCCGCCTGAGGTCTGTGGAGCACTCACAGGAGTATTCCTGGCACCTTACTGGAGCCTCAGAAAAGAGTGAGGAGGTGCGAAACAGCTTCACAAACAAGGAGAAAACTGGAAGCCACCCACCAAAAGAGCTCCGGATGCCCAAAGCAGGAAGAATTTCAGGGACAAGATAGCGAGGGATGGAAACCCAAAGTTACTCATCTAATGTGAATAGATGGCTGATGAAGCAGTTCCACAGATGGTTAAGGCCAGAATGACCATCTCCCGGGCAGAGCGATTCCAAGTAACTCTGTTATCTAAGTATCTAAGGCGGAAACTCTATTCTCGTGGAAACGAAGTTTCTCTAAGCTGGGTCGTGCAGAGGGGCTCTCCCCCACCCCCGGCCCCCAAAAAAGGGTAGTAGGCAAAAGGGAGAGTAGTTTTTAACCACACAGAGCTGGCATGCGCTTCACCCAGTGCTCAAGACCAGAAAGAACACTGGTGGGGTGTCCTCCTAAAATGCTGGTGGAGATGGAACGTCACTCCCGAGGCCTTTCTCCTCTGTACCCCAGTCTTCTCATGAAGGACATACCAGATGAAGTCCAGAAACGCTTTACATCTCGCTAGCTACGGGCCTGGGAGGCGGTGAAATGATGGCCCTTTAGCTTGAGGATCTAAGTTAGATTCTCCAGAACCCACATGAAAATGTTGTGGTTGCTGACCCATGCTAAGACCGGGGCACACCTGGGACTGCCTGGCCAGCCAGGCTTGAAACATTGGTGAGTTGCCCGCCAATGAGAGACCTGGATTCAAAGAAGGTAGACTTGTCCTGACTTTCAGTCTGAGGTTGCCTCTGGCCTCCACAAGCACAAATCCACGTGGGGCGGGTTGGGTAGGTGGGGAACACAGATCCCACAGCCTTTGAAAGGTCATAAAACAACAAAGGAAAAATTTAAACTTAGTTTAGTTTAGTTTTGCTTTTCAAGACAGGGTTTCTCTGTGTAGTTTTGGAGCCTGTCCTGGATCTCTCTCCGTAGACCAGGCTGGCCTCCAACTCACAGAGATTTGCCTAGCTCTGCCTCCCGAGTGCTGGGATTAAAGGCGTGCGCCACCACTGCCCAGCTAAAATTTTTAAATTAAAGTTTTTTTTTTTAATTTAAAGAAGGGGACCAGAAGACTAATAAAAGTCTCCTAGAGGTAGGAGGTGGGGGATGGAGTTAAACAAAAATAGACTGGCCTGACACTTGATGCTCTTGCAGAGGAAGCGAGTGTATTTCACAGCACCGACATGGTGGCTCACAACCGTCCATAACTCCCGTTCCAGGGGATCCAAGGCCTCCCTCAGCCTCTGTGGGTGCCAGGCACACACAGTACATGAGGACAAAAACATTCATACACATAACAGAAAAAGAAATAAATCTTTGCAAAAAAAAAAAAAAGAAAAGAAAACAAAACAAAACACTAGAGCAGTGTGACGAGAGTGTGACCTTCAGTTATGATGGAGGAGGGAGGCTGGCCTATCAGCCAGCAAGAATCTGTCTGTTAATGTAAGATTGTGATAGAAAGGGAACCTAGAGCAGACTACAGGGGGCAACATCAGCTGTGTGTGTAAATCTAAAACTGTTCTAAAAAACACTTGTGAGCCTAGCCTTTGTGAGTTCGAGGCCAGCCTGGGCTACAGAATGAGTTCCAGGAAAGGCGCAAAGCTACACAGAGGAACCCTGTCTCGAAAAACCAAAACCAACCAACCAAACAAACAAAAACAAAAAACAGTTTTTAAACTTGTGCTGTTATGTAAACAGAGGGCCTTAAGGATAGGAGGCAAGCGTCTTACCACTGACCCACAACCCTTAGCCCTGATTATTTGAAAAAGAACCAGAACAAAGATGGGTGCTATATGCTCTGAGGGACGAAGCAGTGTCTGTGGGTACTTTGATGAGGACCTTTGGGGCCTAGCAAGGTGCAGATGTAAAGACCCTGAAGCTGGAACATACCCGCCTTCCACAAGAACCATCAATGCAGGTGGGATGCAAAGGGCAGAGTAACAGGAGATGGGCTGAGGATGGAGAGAGGGCACGTGGGTCTTCATGGTCTCAATTCGGTTTCCACTGAGATGTGATAACACTGAAGACTTTCCAGCAGAAGGGTGGCGTGACATGGCGTTTCCACCCTCCACAGCTCTGTTGAGGATAGATTAAAAGCCAAAGAGAAGTGCATGGGTACGTTGGGAAACAGTAGCAGTTAACTTTATGTCTCAACTTGACTGGGTCACAGAGTACCCAGATGTTATTCTAGGTGTGGCCATGAAGGTGATTTTTAGATGGGAATTAAATTTGCATTGGTGGCTTCAGTAAAGCAAATTGCTCTCCCTGATGCAACTGGACCTTATACCAACTCCTGAAGGCCTGAATCAAACAAGAAGGCTAAGGGTCAATTCCTTTGCCTGCCTGTCTTTGAAATGAGACCTTGGAGTCCTCTTGCCTTTGGACTTAGGCGCAGACTGGAACTCCCCTGTTGGTTCTTGTGTTCCTTCAGTCTTCAGGACCAGCTTGGGCCTGCATGGTTACATCTTCTGGCTCTTCACTCTGTTGAGTGAAGCTCTTGGAACTTCCATAAATGCACGAGCCGATTCCTTCCAATGCACAAGGCATATGTACAGGACAGCTCTCTGTATCTGCTATTGGTTCGGCTTCTCTGGAAAGTCTCGACTCATAGGAAACCATGGTGATGGAACAAGTGAGAAGCCATCGAATTCTGGCCATGTTCACAAGAAGAGGACTCACTGGTAAAAAGATGTAGGGCTTGGGAAAGGGGAATCAAAAGTAAGTCCTGATTTTGCTCAGAGCAACCAGGATAAAAGGGGCTCTTACACAGAGTTGGGAAGACCACCTCAAATGTTGTAAAAATGTGGGAATAGAGGAGTATAAAAAGTTCATTTTGGTGTGAGTGTGTAGAAGGGGCAGACTCTCAGGAGATGAGTTGTAAATGGAAGTTTCTGTCTCACAAGCAACTCCCAAATACCGGGCAGCTGCTTCCCAATTTATCACACAGATGTTTATATTAATTATAAATGCTCAGCCAGTAGCTCAGGCCTATTACGAACTAGCTCTTACACTTAAATCAACCCACAATTCTTACCTATGTTTAGCCACGTGGCTTGGTACCTTTTCTCAGTACGATATTCTCTCATTTTTATTATTATTATTATTTCAGGACTGAGGACCAAACCCAGGGCCTTGCGCTTGCTAGGCAAGCACTCTACCACTGAGCTAAATCCCCAACCCCTCAGTACGATATTCTCATCTCGCTTCTTCTGCATCTGGCTGGCGACTCCCTGATTCCGCCCTTCTCCTTCCCAGCATTCTCAGTTTGGCTTTCTCGACTAACTTCCTGCCCAGCTACTGACCTATCAACTTTCTATTAACCAATGAGAGTAATATATATTCATAGTGTAGAAAAGGATTGTTCCACCGCGTAGATCAATTAATAAAATATATGCCATGAAAGCATGAGGGCCTGTGTTTGGACCCACAGCATACATGTAAGAAGGTTGGCACCATGGCTTGCTTCTGTAAACCCAGCATAGAATGAAGGAGTTGGGGTGGGGGTGGGAGGTGGAGACAGGTAGATCCCTGGAGTTCACCAGCCAGCCTAGCCAATTGATGAGCTTTGTGTTCAGCAAGAGACTGAAAAAATAAGGTAGAATGTATTGGAGCAAGATACCCACTGTCTTCATGCATGTGCACCCACATTCACATACCCATACAAAAGCACACAAAATTTGTCTCCCAACAGACAGTCACCCCCCCAAACACACACACACACACACACACACACACACACACACACACACACGCTTTTGGCGAAAGAGTCTCATGTAGCACAAACTGACCTTTACTGTGTAGCGAGAATGACCTTGAACTTCTGACCTTTCTGGAACAATTTCCTGGAGTGCCGGGGTTACAGGCAAGTACCATCATGCCTGGGGTTATGTGTAACAGGGCTTCAGACCTAAGGCTCCCAGACTTTAGCCAACTGACTCCATGATGGAAGTGCCATTCAGGCTTTAAAACTCAGCATGTAGACACCGCCACCAGCCAAAACTAAAACAAAGGCCTAATCCATCAAAGTCTGTTGTTCTGGGAAGTCCCTGAATGTGCTTACCTTGCCTTTTGACTTCTGGAGTTCTGCTCTGACTAACTGTTCTTGTTAACTGAAGTATGTCAGCCTAGAACATGGTTTTTGTGTTGAAAAGCTCATCCTGAGAAAGGCTCAGTCCTGCACTGGGATCCCAAATACCCAATGTAGTCACCAGTTGGCTAATAAAGACTTTCTATTGGCTTAAACCGTATCAGAGGAGTCTCTGGTGAACCCCCCCCCCCCCGCCCCCCAGCTATGCATGCCAGGCAACCTCTGCACCAACTGAGCCACACCCTCAGCCTAAGAATTTCCTTTTTGACACCTTCAGGTTGTCAAGTTGTCGAGAAGGCAGTTGATCGGATGAGTCTGAGACGCTGCTGCGGTGTCTGACGGGCTGACAGACCCATCAGAAGATCCAGCCATCTAAACCGTACAAGGCACCTTCTACA